CACACACACACACACACACACACACTGTTACATTATTTGGGCGTAAGTAGCCAGTTCACTGATCTATATATATATAACGTTATATTATGTAATTATCTCCTATACGTTATGTATAAAGTAAATAGATCCATTTGGCTTCAGTGAACACCCTGCTTTTCTGAACAGTGAACACTATTTCTCGGTCCCATGCCCTATTTTATATAGCAAAATCACACCAAAGGAGTGAACACTCATAATCCAACCACAACCCCCTCACCATGCAATCAGTGGTTCACACAGTGGTGACGTCCTTCCCTCTGTGTTGATATTACAATTAACACATGTATAAGACGGTCAGTGGTCACCACTCACACTCTCACCTCCCCTCAGAGGTGTGGGTCCATGTTTGTTAAACAGTAGCTTGTTATAATAGTGTAAATAAATAGCCTAGATCTGCCAGTTTGTAGATGTGAGTTTTTCAGTTCACTTCTGTGTATGCAAATTGAGAATTATGGCTGCAAAAAGGAAAGCGCAGACATGTAAGGTGTGTATGCACTCTCTTTGAGTGCCCTCTGCCAAGTGTTCGCTGATGAGAGGTTTCACTGTGCATAGAGCTCGGTTTAACCTGTATGACACGGTATGACACAGTCGTTACGTTTCCGCCTCGCTACACTCACTACGCCCATATGCGGAGCAATTAGGTTAACGTATCAAGGAGTGGTAATAATCAGTTCAGCTCAGTGGTGTATGCGTGAGTCTGTGTTATCCCCTTCCTCCTTCTCCACCAGCTTCTCCCCCTTCTCCCTCCTCCTTCTCCACCACCTTCTCCCTTCTCCCCTTCCTCCTTCTCCACCAGCTTTTCCTCTCCTCCACCAGCTTCTCCCTTCTCCCCCTCCCCATCCACCAGCTCCCTTCTCCCCCTCCTTATCCCCTTCTCCCTTCTTCCCCTCCTCCTCCTCCGCCAGCTCCCTTCTCTCCCTCCTTCACCCCTTCCTCCTTCTACACCAGCTTCTCCCCCTTCTCCTTCTCCACCAGCTTCTCCCTTCTCCCCCTCCTCCACCAGCTCCCTTCTCCCCCTCCTTCTCCCCTTTCTGCTTCTCCACCAGTTTCTCCCCCTCCTCCTTCTCCACCAGCTTCTCCCCCTTCTCCATCTCCACCAGCTTTTCCCCCTTCTCCTTCTCCACCAGCTTCTCCCTTCTCCCCTTCCTCCTCCACCAGCTCCCTTCTCCCCCTCCTTATCCCCTTCTCCCTTCTTCCCCTCCTCCTCCGCCAGCTCCCTTCTCTCCCTCCTTCACCCCCTCCTCCTTCTACACCAGCTGCTCCCCCTTCTCCTTCTCCACCAGCTCCCTTCTCCCCCTCCTTCTCCCCTTCCTCCTTCTCCACCCGTTTCTCCCCCTCCTTCTCCACCAGCTTCTCCCCCTTCTCCTTCTCCACCAGCTTCTCCTTTCTCCCCCTCCTCCTCCACCAGCTCCCTTCTCCTTCTCCTTCTCCCCTTCCTCCTTCTCCACCA